AGGCAGAGGAAGAAGCAGGCTCCCTGATGCGGGACTTGATCCCAGGACCCTGGGATCATGACCTGAGCCAAAGGCAGACGCTCAACCACTGAGTCACCCAGGTGCCCCTGTAAACAACTTATAGAAGCATTCTCTATCTTTAAAAAACCCTGATTTTGCTACCTAGTGGGACACTGGATTGCTACCTAAATCTTTGTACCCTGAATTGCAGTTCTTTGATCCTAAATAAATGCTTCATTTTTGCCTCCTGACAATTTGAGGTTGGTGTATTTTTCTTTATTGTGATAAAAACTACATATTTTACTATTTTAACTATTTTTAATGTACAGTTAAGTAATGTTAAGTATATGCACACTGTTTTGCAACAGAGTATTTACATTTCTGATTCTAATGAAGGTTAACATGTATCTGCTCTACCCATTCCTGTTTCACTCTACACTTTTTTATCTGTCTCCTTTTGAAAATAGATATATAAGGGATATGTTGATGATCCTCGAAATACTGATAATGCATGGATGGAGACAGAAGCTGTGAACTACCATGATGAAACAGGTAAACTTAGGTTTATTAGACTGACCAGATAAGAGGCACTCTGATATTTGTGGAAGGGAATGCTCATCAAAGAGCATTTGCTTTTTCGAAGCTCTTGAGCCTTGCCAAATTGTCTTACAGAAATATTTCATTTACATTCCCAACAGTGATTGAGAGCATTATTTTTAATTTTTTGATAATTATAATTAGTTTATTTATTTGCAAATATAATTATGAATATTTTCAGTTTTCTGGTTTGGTGTCATGCTTAGAAAGGTCTACTTACCTTACAAGTATGAAATGAGTCACCAAGAATTGTTTTATTTTTTTTTTACATTTAAATCTCTAATCCAAAAAAATAAAAAATCTCTAATCCATCCAGGATTTATTTTGACATAAGTTTTCATACTTATTTAATATGAACTTTTGTTTTTAAGGCTAATATTCTTTCTTTTTAAAGAGAAAAGTTCCCTTATTGATGCCTCTACTTAAAATTTAGGAACTTGGAGGTGTGCTTGGATGGCTCAGTCAGACATCTGACTTCAGCTTAGGTCATGATCTCAGGGTCCTGGGATCGAGCCCTGCATTGGGCTCAGCACTCAGCATGGAGTCTGCTTGTCCCTCTGCCTTTCCCCACACTTGTGCTCTCTCTATCTCAAATAAATAATAAATAAATAAAATCTTTAAAAAATTAGGAACTTGGTTAAAATTTGGGCATTTGGAACTATGGAACATTCTAGTTTTTAAATCACTGGGCCACATAATACAATGGTGACTTAAGATTGCTTTAGTAAGAATACTTGAAGCTACAGAATTATGTTGGAAAAGAAACACATGAATTACTTTTTTTTGGTGATGTTTTTTCTTTGGTAACAGGTGAGATAATGGATAACCTTACCCTGGAGGCTGGAGATGATGCTGGAAAGGTTAAATGGGTGGACATCAGTGATCAACTCCAGCTTTATGCCAGTCACTCTCAATTCATCAAACTCGTGGCTGAGAAGCGAGATGCACACTGGAGTGAGGACTCTGAAACTGAGTGCAGTGGGTTGTAGCCCCCATCATTGTGGGAACCACAGGCCAGCAAAGGGGTGCGTGCTGAAAAGAAGGCAGTATCACAGAGCTCATACTACAAGGGGGCAGGGTTGGTCACTTGGAAGTTAGTTTATTCACTTTCAAAGCTATTTGCATTTAGAAGGTTTACATCAGCATAAAATTAGTAAATATGGTGAAATGCAACATGGAATTTTCCGCTTTTCAATCAAAAGAAATATAAACAATCATATTTTGTATGTATTCTATTTAAGCATGGCTTAAACCACGTCTTAACCAAAAGTCTTTGAAGAATCATAATCTGAATAAAGATAAATTTATGTTGGCCATCACTTCTGTTTTTCATCTAGTTCTTATTTGTCAGTTCTTTTTTTTTTTTTTTTTTTAACCCCCTATTGATCTTCTGGGGTTTGAAGGATATTCCTGCCATATCAGACTCCTTTAGGAGAAGCACCACCATTGTGTATTCTAATTTATCTGTAAATTATTTGATTCTTATTTTGCTTTATGTGATTTTGCTGAAGCTGATTTCAAAATGGAAACCTTAGATATTCTTGACTTTAGAGGCCAGTGTTCTGAGGAAATTTCAGTAACTATTTTAGTCAATAAAGATCAAGATCAATGAACAAGAGCTCATGTTCTCACTTTTCAGAAATTCTGAATTAAAAAATATGTCCAGGAAATTAGTAATTTAAATGGATAAATGTATTTCACTCGACTGTAAATATATGTGTCATAAATGAATTAAAAAGTTCAGAAAGAAGGGATCCCTGGGTGGCTCAGCGGTTTAGCGTGCCTGCCTTCGGCTGGGGGCGTGATCTTGGAGGCCTCGGGATTGAGTCCCACATCGGGCTTCCTGCATGGAGCCTGCTTCTCCCTCTGCCTGTGTCTCTGCGTCTCTCTCTCTCTCTCTCTCTCTCTGTGTCTCTCTCATGAATAAATAAAGTCTTTAAAAAAAAAGTTCGGAAAAATTGAAATAAGGCAGAGATAGAGGTAGGTCTTTGAGAGTTAAAGTGTTTTGTTTTTTTTTTTGAAGGGAATGTTAAATATTAGTATAGGTGTTCCCATAATTCCCAGAGGAAAGGAAAGAGTTGTTGATGTTCTAGGTGCTCTTGGAAACCGGGAAGAGGAAGGAAAAGAACACTTGTCTGAGTGGGCATATGTATCACATTCTGCTATAAGATATCCATTGGGAAAAGTATCTATTGGGAAAGTCCCATGACATTTACTCCTGTCACCCTAAAGTAGGTACCATCATAATTCTGTCTTCATTCCAGTTGGATTACGTACAGATGGGGCATCTAAAGAAAAGGAGGTTTAGGGGATAGAGATGTAGTTGTTTCCTTTTCTTTACATGTTTGAGAAAGGTATTAGGTTTGCTCTGTAGCTTGAGGATAGAACTTAGGCTAAGGTAAATCAAAAGCACCCCCCTCCCCAATTTAGTGTCAAAACTACTTTGGTCGTAAACTTGAACTGAACTGACAGGAAGCCTATTTCCCATTAGTGTGACTGTAAGTTTTGCTGAAAAACACTTGAATGTTTGATTTCAGGATCTTGTTTCAGATCCCTCTGGAAGTTATGAGGCTTCAATATGGTATTTTCTAAAATCCATAAAATCCTGGTCCCTGTGTATATAATAAGGGACTTGTGCTGACCAGGATGACCTGCTCATTAGGTGATGGGTAGGATGACCTCCTACAATGAAAGAGTTGGATTCTACTTTTAATGTTTGGCAGGAAGAGATTGCTTTTTCTTGGCACTGAACAGAATTCCTTAAATTGAAGCTGCTTACTAAAGCTCTTGAGAAAGTTTGAGCAATTCCCTGAAGTTTGACATTTACTTAAGTCTAATAGTATCAAAACATTTACATTGACATTAGAAAAAATATTAGGTAATATTAACATTTTATTTAAAGAAGAACTAAAGCATTTTATTTAAAGAAGAACTAAAGAAAATATATAATAAATTCTTCATGGCATTTTGGAGTTTTCTCTGGAACATATATAAAGTGTGCAAAATTATAAAACTATAAACTATAGACGGGACAGAAGTAGATAATCTTCTGATATCCAGCATCATCTATAATAAGAAAAACCAGATTAATATTTTAGTTTAAGACATTTCTGGAGGAATATCTGCTCCTATATCACTAGGTGATATTGCCTTCATATTTGCTTTTATATTTTAGGTTTAAGGAACACTCCTGGGATACTTTTGTCTAAAAGATATTTAGTAAAATAGTAATAATAGATACCATGTACTGCATAATCTACATTATATCACTCAATCCTCAGCAAGAGTCCTATGAAGTTAGGTGGTATTATTTCCATTTCATAGATGAAAATTAAGGAGGGCACATGATATGAGCATTAGGTGTTCTCCGCAACTGATAAATTACTGAACACTACAACAGAAACTAATGAAGTATTATATGTTGGCTAATTTAATTTAAATAATAGAAAAAATACATTTAGAAAGATTGTCCCAAGGTTAATTCAGTAAGGGACAGAGCTGGGATTTGAATCCTGGTCTGCCTGGTTCTTAAACCTATTCTGTATTTTATTCCCTACTAAGGTTATTAAGTTTTTATGATTTGTCACTTTAAGTATGCATTTCGGAAGATTAGATATGAAGCCGCACACTGGATGATATGCTATATGTTAGCAAATTTAACTTCAATTAAAAAAAAAAGATATGAAGCAGTACTCACATTATCCATAGCAATACAGTTATAGTTTATGACTTTAGGGCCACATGTGATTTAGCTAGTGTGGTTGAAATAGAAATTTTGGCCCAAAGAGTTTATTTGATAATATCTTAAGGATAAGTGGCAGCAACCAGTATTTTTCTTGCTAGCAGGTGTTCTTAAGCTTTTGAAAGCATTCAAATTTAAATGGAAGCTGAACCTACATGAGACTGTAATTACTTAAAACCTAAATATTTGGTAGCTAAAGAGGGCACTTGAAAATTCTAACTACTTTTAGGGCTAAATGCTATATTTTCTTACAGTATAAGAAGTGGTCATTGGGGGCAGCCCGAGTGGCGCAGCGGTTTAGCGCCGCCTGCAGCCCAGGGCGTGATCCTGGAGACCCCAGGATCGAGTCCCACATCGGGCTCCCTGCATGGAGCCTGCTTCTCCCTCTGCCTGTGTCTCTGCCTCTCTCTCTAGCTGTGTCTCTATGAATAAATAAATAAAATCTTTAAAAAAAAAAAAAGAAGAAGTGGTCATTGGTTTTATACTCTTAACATATTTGTGAAGTTTTAATAAACTGATTTAAAAATCCATCCTTTGAAGAGAGCATTTGTAATTTAAGTAGGTTAATCTACCTGCTTTCATCAGTACACCTTTCATCATTCTATTAATTTATCCTTATGGACATGACCTGAGACTATTAAACTCCTAAGATAAAAATATTTTTAACGCACATAATAGTGCTTGAAAGGTATTTGGAGATTTTACTCACCGTATATAATTTCTGATAGAGAATTATTTCTGCCAAAGTAAACACAAATTATAGTTTTATTATATGAAAGTATTTTTGCCATAATTTCTTCTTTGTTTCCACTCATGTCTCTCATCCTGCTCATTTCATTGAGTGAAATCCAATTTCTTTCTCAAAATTGAGATTGAGAATATTTTGACTCATTAGCTTCTCTCAGGGTGGATTAAAATAAATACATACCAAATATACTTTTGATTGACATTAATTCAGATACTTAAGAAAGGAATATACGGGTCCGCCTGGGTGGCTCAGTGGTTTAGCGTATGCCTTCAGCCCAGGGCATGATCCTGGAATCCCACATTGGGCTCCCTGCATGGAGTCTGCTTCTCTCTCTGCCCCTCTCTCTCTGTGTCTCTCTTATGAATAAATAAACAAAATCTTTAAAAAATATATTTTTTTGTATATATTTTAAATGAAAATAAACTTGGATGAGAGTCAAAGTTTCAAGGTTTGTAGCCTTGCCATCCAGCAAGCTGATGCATTTGTGTTGAGATGTATTTCCTTGCCTGGAAATCAAGCCATTTCTAGATGTGATAGTTTCATGCTGACTTTTCTCACTACTTACAGGAATTGTCCATAAAACAAAAACAAGCTTGAGGTAAAATTTACTGTTTGAAATTTCAACCTAATACTACATATGTTTCTGTAAGCTAAAATTTTGTCACATAGCATGGACGTTATGAAAATAATACCTTTTTTAGACTTGCAGAAATTCTGATCTAAAGAGCCAGAGTTTATAGTTCAGGAGCTCTAATTTGGGTAAGTCAGTTGGGTATGACTCTGCCATATGTTTTTATAGTTGAGAATTGTTCTTACCTTTCTTGAGATTAAATGTCACTTGCTTTTATCAGTAAAATCATAGAAATAAAGTCTTACCCCAAAGAAACCCTAAAAAAAAAAAAGATACTATCTTCAGTCCATTAAATAGGGTTGTAATTTACACTGGCTTAAAAATTTATATGAACTTACCCCGAGTTGGTTCAAAATAGAAGTGATTAACTGTGAAAGAAGAAAAGTCAATGATCAGTGCTAGAGGGTTTATTTTTTCAGTCCACATAGTAACTAAAATATTTTCTATATGAATCTCTTTTTGGGGTAGCCCGGGTGGCTCAGCGGTTTGGCGCCGCCTTCAGCTCAGGGTGTGATCCTGGAGCCCCCGGATCGAGTCCCACGTCGGGCTCCCTGCGTGGAGCCTGCATCTCCCTCTGCCTGTGTCTCTGCCTCTGTGTGTGTGTGTGTGTATGTGTCTCATGAATAAATAAAATCTTTAAAAAAAATGAATCTCTTTGTTGAAAAATTAATTCCATTTTATTGTTTAGTGCTTTATTTACATGATGTAAGATTTTAAAATGAATAGGCAATATCTAAATTCCCTTAATTCAAAAAAATATTTTCTTGTAACTATTCACTATATTTGAAAGATAGGAATTTGATATGAGTGGTTAAAAAACTCACTGTGTACACATCCATGCGAGTGTTGTGTTTCTTAAATTATGCAAACTCCCTATGTGAATGATACTTGAACCAAAATTTTAGGACAACTATGAATACTCTGCTTCAAGGGTCTGCTTAGACAAGCAGTTTCACTGGAAAAGTATTGCTTTGTAGTTTGCACAGTTCCGTTTTAACAGACTGGCAGCTTGCTCAAGGAATTGACCATTGAAAGAAGGTGAATCCCTCTATTTGTAGAGCTGTCCATCCCAGCACATATGCAAGAACATGTCTAAACACTGCCATTTTTTTTCTTAGGCAAGAACAATACGTGAGGTAGTGTTTGTTCTTTTAGGATGCCTCTTTCTGCTTTCTGACTTAACGAGGATCACTGGGAGAAAAAAAATTCTTATGACTATGAAGATAAGGCAATTCTATAAGTTATTCTTTCAGAATTCTTCCCAGTATGGGTTGCGGCCAACAGCACCTTTTTTTTTTTTTTTTTAAAGATTTTATTTTTAATCTCTTCACTCAACATGGGGTTCAAACTCATGACCTGAAGATCAAGTCACATGCTCCAGTGACCGAGCCAGCCAGACGCCCCAGCCAATAGTACTTTTAAGAAGTTCAGTAAAAGAAAGTATAAGTAAGTCTTCAGATCTGGTAATCTGAATGGGTTCTGTGTCTGAGGAGTCACTATTTTCACTGGAAGAGACCTTGAAGGTAAACTATACCTTTACCCACAGTCACATAGTTAATTTAATTGTAAAGGTGAGTTTAGAATCTAAACTTTCCCACCACAGGCCAGTGGTCTTTCAACCATGTTTTGATGTAGAGGTGAACTTGCTAATTTTATAGTCATCAGTAATTAATTGTTGAAGATAGTTTCCTAAAGCATGTTTAGTTAGAAATACGCAAGAATTTTTATTGTTTGCCATTTGGAAATGGACAATAATGTTGCTGAAATAGAGTGGATTGTGGGGAGAGCACTAGCACTTGAACTCAAGAGACTTAAGTTCTTATTGAGTAGAGTCAGAAACTATTTGACCTCAAGGTTCTGGGACATTTAAGTATACCTTAAGATAGTTGGCTTTAAATAGTCTCGAATTCTGAAAATTTTTCTCAGGCATACAAATGATTTAGGTCTAAGTTTCTGACATTTTTACAAAATATGCATATCCTTGATTCTAAGATATCACCAATTGTAAAATGTACCATTTAGTTAAATAAAAATGATATCTTTAAATAAATATGTGTATCTATTGTGAGATGTGTCTTGATTTCAGAAAATGTTTATGAAAAGCATGTTTTTAGAGGAAATGGAATTTTTTAGTGTTCTCTTTCGTAACTCCACTCAAGTATTTTTCCTGAGTTTTTATAAACTAAGTTTCTGAATAATGTATCGTTAAAAGGCTTCATTAAAAAGTCGAATTGTGTGCATTTCAGTTAAAAAAATATTACCTGTTAGAATTTAGATTGGATAATTTTTAATCTATTATGTGTTTATGCTAATGCTTTGTTAGTGAACAAATAATCAAGTCTATTTCATTTCTCCTAAAGCAATTTATTCTGTAGGTCTAAGTCTTTTGACTCTTCATTTTCAGCCTCATCAGTGATGGAAGAGGTTGTCAATTTATAGTTTGGATGAATTGAATAATGAATGTAGAACTGTCTACATGCATTGAGATTGTTTTTTTGCTTTGAATTTAACAGCTGTGCTTGATTTTGTTTCCAAATGTAGACGAATAAAGATACTAATTTTCATGATGAACTGGCCTATCTTACATAGGAAGTTAAATGTATTTTTATGAACTTAGTAGATTAACAGGGCAGATATATTTACCGTTATAAGATCATTAAGTGTCAGGACCTAGAATAAAGGAAGCACAATAACATAATCAAAGAGTTGTAATTTAGCATTTTGTTTATCTTGTCTTCATACATTTTATATTACCTTGATTAATGAAAACATGCTTTTTAGAATTCTTATATTTCTAAAATTATGTCATTAAGAATCATATTCACTAATATTTGAAGTAACTCCTTCCACAAACCTACTATCTCTAGAAGCATATAGTCCACATTTTCTTTTGTGGTCTCCGAACAAAGTAGGGACTTCTTGAAAAGATCATTAAACTTATGCTTACTAGGTTGGAAAAAAGACTATATTTTAGGATGACTTCTTATGAGAGAAAACTTTAGTAATGTCATTTCCTATCATTGTAATACTAGTATCATTAACAAATTTAGTATTAATATGTTATACACATTTTTTGATTTGTGATTAAGTCAATCTCATATGTAATTTTCCCTCCATTCAGCAAAATCCTGTCAAAGTGAAATTTAATCCTTTTATAACATGACCATTATCTTAAATCCAGTTCAAAGGATTCTAGGACAGATTCCATTTCAATAAGAATGTTTCCCCCCTACCCCCATTAATGTCAGGTATAACCATAAGATTTTAGAGGCAAAATGGACTTTATAAATCATTCATTTTCATTATTTTATACTCTAGAAGAAAGTAAGTCTCAAAGGAATTCAAGATCACTCCAAACTATGAAATGGCAGTTTGCATCCCTAGACTATTTGTCTTTAAATGCTTTTTCTACTAGTTTCCTGGGCTCCTTCCACATGATCAAGGTAAGTTTTAGGTCTTAGGTCGTTCAGTTTGCAAGGGTATATGAGATTTGTACAGTAAATGACTCAAAATAGAAAAAAATATCGATAACTGAAGGTCCAAAAGAGAATGATGGCTATTAATCCTTGGTATCAGGTTTCTCTCCAATTAAATCTAAAGAGTTTTCAAGTTTTTGTTTTGCATTCATTTAAGTACTTTCTTAAAGCACACTTAAGTATACTTACCTGATTTGGATCAAAAGGAAAAGGCAAAGGAATAGGAATTGGAACCTATAAAGAAAAGAGGAGGAAAAAGGGAGGAGTAAATAAAGTTTTATTTTAGCTTTTTTTCCTCATTAACTCATTTATCCACCCATCCATCCATCCATCCATCCATCCAGTATTTATTGAGCAATTATATAAGCTTTTAGGGAGCCCACTTTCTACTTGGTGGAGCTTTAGATACTAATGGATTTTAAATTAATCTAAAATCAAAGAATCTGTCTTATGTATTTGATAGTTCTTGCAAAGCCACTTCCTCAACAGGTTACTCTTTGCCGGCTTTTTAATACAACTCTGCCATCTAGTGGAAGGAAGAGTTTCCATTTCAAATTCTAGTGATTCTTTGTTGCCATACAGACTTATTTATATAAGATGTTAACAGAGGTTCCTACATTCTAATTATAACCCCAAACTTCAGGATTTTGCATTACCAAATCTTACTGAATTTCAGCCAAAAAAAAACAAAAACAAAGGTAAACAATGCTTCTAGCCTTGACTAGAACCAAAATTAACAATTAATGATAAATGCAGGTAGAAATTTAGTGGCTATTCAAGAAGGATATGTGAAAACATTAAAAAGAAAGACTGTTCCATTAACGACTGTAACTTCAGTGACAAATTTCCAAAAGCCTACTTACCGTTGAGAAATAACAGTTTGAAATTAAATACAAGCGAATGGTAGGTGTTTATTACATTTAGATATAAAACTCAAATTAGGCAAAATCATGTTTATTTTAAGGATAGGTGGTAGACAAGAAGTTAAGCAAAATGCTGTTTTAAAATGTGTGTGAACTTTTCAAAATATCATTGCTTAAGGACTGTCCAAGTTTAACATGTCTCCAATCTGTGTTTCAGCCTCATGGTACGGATCATTTTCCCAAATGGTCCTGTCATTCTCAGGTCCATCCCATCCATTTGCAGTTCCCTCTGTCTGTAGTACCTCACCCACTCCTCATTCCTTGTGACCCGGCTCAGATAATGTCTCCTCTGGGAAAGACATCTTTGGCCCACAGCCTAAGCCAACTTTGTATTTGCATCTAGAAGCACTCGTCAAATCACATTTTTACATTTATGAATCTCTCTCATCTGACTGTGAACTTATCTCATGTCTCTGTATTTCAAGCACTCATTAGAGACCCCATCATGCAGCAGACATTCAGTGAATATTAATTGAATGAATGTTATTTGTACCAATTAACTATTACATAGAGAGTGAAGGAAATTCTATTATGTATTTAGCACTCTTCTGGCCTTTATTTAAAAATGTTATAAGAATCCAGATATTAGGAGAGACTGGAGAGTATCTAACAGGAAGAACAAAATAATTGTATTGTTTGACCTGTGAGAAAATGTTACAGAAGGCTGAAAAAAAAAACTTTTGAGAAAAAAAGCAGCAAGATGATTTAGAAAAAGATAGTAAAAAGAGGTTAGTATTTTCTTCATGAAGAGCAACTAGGCTCATTATAGTCAAAGGAACTCAGTATGGACACCTTTTTGATGGCAGGTGTAGAGAGACATTGGAAGAAGTCACCGAATATTCAAAGGAGAAAACTTGTTAGCCCCTTCTCACATTCCATCACAAGCTGTGCAGGGTGGGGGTGTGAATAGCTGATGCCTAGCAACCTCTTAAAGCTCATATTCAGGTCTGAAAATTTGGGAAATTTAATATCCATCATCTAAATAATAAATATTTTTGTAATTTGAGATTCTTCAAACCCATGTTTACCAAGGGCAGTTGTGGAGGAGGCGGAAACAGGATCTGAGGAAAAAACGGTGGTCCTTGTGGCGGGTAAAAGCCAAATCTCTGTAAAAAGAAACGTGACGTCAGTCATTTCAGACAAGTATAAACTTTTAAAAAGATGAATACGGCATTTGAAAATACAACTAGAAATTTACCTGTTCACTGGAACTTCCTCCATATTGTTCAAGCTTGTAAAACGACAACAGCAACAAGGTGAAGCAACGTATGGCAATACAGTGTTCATTACAAAGACATTTTATGAGAATAGGTAACAGACCACTACTGAGCAGTACACCCACCAGTGGGGTAGCTTCACTTCTGAAATGAAAAACAGTTGAATATCTAATGGGGAAAGGTCAAATTAATTTTGTCCAGTGATTTAGAAGGTGTACTTCTTGCATTTAAACTTACTTCCAAATACTGGTTTTATTTATATTTCTTAAGAGTAACTACATGTCCCATGCCTCTTTATCTCTGAATCAACAGTGTTCTCAGTTTAGTTCTCAATATCTACAAGTTCAAAGTGAAAGGAGTTATAGAACTGTAAATTCAAATTTTTTCCCCAAACACAAACTTTGAAAGCTCTTTGGTTACACAATGCGCTAGAAAGAGGATTTCTTGTCTAACTGGTGTCCTACTTAGTCAGACTATAACTGACACAGATGACACTCCTAGATCTCATTTGTATAGATGTAGAAGGCATGGCTGCTGTCAACAGGAGACAGTTTGGTGTAAGGATACTGTAAATGAAACTCAATTCAAACTGCATAATTAAATCCTAGGTCACTGTGGAATGGGAGTTCTATTTTGCTAAGTTTGAGAGCTTCCTATTTTCCAGTTAGGACTTATGTGCTTTTTTATTATCTTTGCACTACTCTGAGGTCATTCTTATGACTCATTTTACAGACTGGGAAGCCATGGGTTAGTTTCTTGCTCAAGGTCACCCAGTTGGCAGATGGCACGTAGGACTGCGATTTGTACTGGGAAGAGCAAGGGCTAAGGACCAGTGATGAATTCCTGATTCTACAACTTTCCTGGACTATACCTTTCTCTTTTGTGAAGTGAAAAGACACAGGAAAGGCCTCCTAGCCCAGAAATACCATCCCTAGAATGGAAATAGAGTGGAAAATGGAGGAGGTGTACTCACAGGAATGGGCAGAGCAGTGGCAGTGCTCAAAAGGCCAGCTAAAATGAGAAATTTCATTCTGAAGGAAGAGTCTGGAATCGAAGGATTAGAAGATCATTTTTAGTTTTTTTCTAAGTCCTATTCTTGTTGTAAATAAGCTGTTTAGTTAGAAGCGTTGCAATAGTGGTCAGGCTAAATTCTGCCTCCAGAGTCAGGTTTTGAAAGCCTAGAACAGTGCTTTAAAAAACTTTGAATGCCTTTAGACAAGACATGCATTCTCTGGCTCATAACATTGCATACAATTCCTCTTCTTCCTTATAATCTCACAGTTCAATGTATACCTGTTTAGCCCCTGAAGTTACTTGAATTTGTGACCTCTACCCACCAATCTTTAAACACGAATGTTGCATCATACTTAATATTGGGGACTAAGCATGTATAAATAAATAAATCCACCTTGAGCTTCTACCCACATGAAACTTAGAGACCTTCACATAGTCTGGATGCTGTTATTGACAATTATTCCTCAAGAAGAAAACAATAGAGAAAAAATCTTGTAAGGCATAATCATAATGGGTTGGCAGAGAATAGCACAATATGAGTAAATATGAATACATTCAAAAAAGCAAATCAATGTGGTATTTACTGGTCAGAAGATTCTGAAAGCAAACATTTTTATGGTCTTAAATCACATTTAATTCAAATTAACTTGCCATGTGGGTTTCAAACCAAACCACTGAAATTGAATTTTGGAAGAATAATCAAATTCATTACATTTTTATTAAGACTTGCCCCCAGCATCCGAAGCAAGGGATATCTCTTTATAAAAGTCACTCTTCAACTACTTTATATGTGTTTTATACTCAACTATGATTTAGCTTCATGTAATTTTACTTTGCCTGAATTAGGCAACTTATCTCCCTTTCTCTTTTTTTTTCAGGTTTCTTTTTCATATTTTTCTTCCTTTTGGATCCAAACCTTTGAATTTTCTTTTTTTCATAAGTGGGCTTGTTAGAAATCATGAAGTTACCCAACATGAAAAAAATTTTACATTCTTTTACCTAGTTCAATAGAATCAGCCCAGATTATACTGTATGTTTTTTTAATTACCTTTGCTTCAAATGGCCCTCGGAGCAACGAAGTCAAGGAGCAGTGTGATCTTCTAGAATCTGCATGCCCATCTAGTATTTAAGGCATATTACTAATGCGTTTATGGTCATGAGCAATATGAGTCACAAGATTTAAAGCTAAACTGAATAACTGGTTTCAGACTAGAACTCCAACTTCTAAAGTATCTCAGAGAGATAGGGCTTAAAGACTGGTGACTGAGAGAATAATTTCATCTCCTTGGTTGGGATTAGAGCAATGTCTTTATCACAAACACACCACAATTAAAAGTTGTGACTACCAAGAATATTAAATTACATCTATAACATATCATCTAGGGCAGCAATATACAAGGGAGACAGTGGACAGAAAGATTTAAGGTTCTAAAATTTTCTATTATTAAATATTATTTGTTATTCCAAAATGATCTTAATTTTCAAATAAAACATTTTAAAATAAACAAAAAAAACCCATTTTAAATAAACAGGTAATGTCTTTAGAATTAAAATCACTTTTCACTATTCCAAAACATTCAAAATGGTAATTTAATACCTCCAAATATAATTTCAGTGTTCCTAACAAATTCACAAATTTATAACTGTCATTAGTTAAGATTTCTCATGACATATCTTTGGAGTCACACATAAAAAATTCTGAATTTTGGAATAGTTTAAAATTATATCCCTAATTGGAAAAAATTATATATAATACTTAGATTTTGATTAATCGAATTGAACTCAATTATTTAGAAATAACTGATGTGATGTGATCTGGTTAAGAACAAGTGACTCACAGAGCTAAGAAAAGAGATAATACAATTTTGAAGTTAATCAGAGAAAATTATTCTGATAAAAAGCAACTTTTCCATAAGTTCCTGCAGATGAAATTCCCTGGGGCATCACGACGGCTCTTAACAACCACAACAACACATTTTTTATTATTTTAAAAAGTAAACAAAATTGCATTGACATCTTTCATTTCAGATAAGAAAATATGTAACACAAAACTGTTTTATTTTCATTTAAATAATTGTTAAGTAGCGTACAGAAGGCGACAGTTTCTTTCATTGCTTCAGACCTTGGAAAAAGCTCTATTATGATGTTTTATTATTTTGCTATCTAGCCTTTACTGTATTAATAGTTATGAAAGAAGAAAGAGTTCAAATTAAAACACAAATTTTCTCTTTTGAAATGATTTCTTGCTATCAATTTACAGTAGTAATATTTACCTCTGACTACACTGGACATTAAGACACTTCAGAACTTTCTGTTGTCTGTGTTGTCTTTATATTATCTTTATTTTGAGGACATGAAATGTGTAGAAATTTTGCACGACCTCCCTTTCCCCCAACATACATGGAGAGCTGCACCAAAGTTAGAATTAATTGTATTAAGCAGTGCATAATAATCATCCTTATTTTAACTTAGTAGGAAGCACTTGAATTTTTTTCTATTTAAATTTACATCGCAACAAAGGGCATTAATAAGCATCTACCATTTAACAGCTGAATATTTGTTTCCCATAGGAAACATCTCCCCCAACCATGCTCTTTTTTTTTTTTTTTTAGTAGTAGTAGGGTCTAGTAAGTGTAGTTTTAATTTTATTTGAAGTGTGAGTCCTGAGTTGGTTTTTCACATGCAGTTGTTTAAATAAATGACTGGAAATAAACTTGAGTTAGATTTAGATTTTTATTAGGACATTAAGATACTGAAAATAATGCACATTAAAAACAAGAGAACACTATTCCATTTTCTTGAAGTGTACATGATATTATGAACAAAATGAATGTAGTGTTTTCTTCAAGTTTTATAATTAGTATTTCATAAATGGATGCAGAGAGGGATGAGTTAAAACTCTTGTTCACAAAAAGCACACAGTATTTTGCATATGTTGACTTTATTTAATTTTAAAGTTTTATTTCCAAAGCTTAATGTTAAATGCTTGGTGCATACACTGTTAGCAAGCAATTACTCTCATTGTCTTCTCAAACATGCAAACATTTTGCTAAATATAAATCTACAAGTATTGTGGCTGCATATATTTTCAGGAGTGGTCAGAAATGGAGGAGGATGCTGGAATGTTTGAATTCTTTCAAATCTTAGTTCAAAACAGGAGATTTTCATCTATGTCTTCTGTAAAAAACAAAAACGAAACAAAACACACTTTTAGAAAATAGCCAGAGTAGGAATATAAACAAATAATGTCAGAGCTCGAGGATTAGAGAAACCATCTAATTATACTGTAGGATGGTTCTCAACCCTGGTACGGCATCAGCATCACCTGTGAAGCTTTTAAGAAGATGCCATTTGGTTTCGCTTATACGCAGAATCTAAAAAACAAAACAAATAAGCAAACAAAAAGCAGATATAGAGAACAGACTGATGGTTGCCAGAAGGGAGGGGGGTGGGGAGATGGGCAAAATGGGTGAAGGGGAGTGGGAGGTACAGATTGGCTTCCAGTTATGGAATGAATAAGTCACAGGGATAAAAGTTAAGGAATAAGGAACACAGTCAATGGTATTGTAGTAGCACTGTATGCAGATATAAGACCACTCCTACCATTATGGCCCACCCTCACTCAATAATTGTTGAATAAATACTTAAACAGATTAACTTGAAGGAAACTTCAAGTCATACTTCTTTTTCATATTAACTACTACCCTGTCTGGGACACCAGGTAATTTTCCTGCCCTATATAAGTCTCTGCCCAAGAGTTGGAAAGATTATGAACTTTGGCATATTTCTTTTGAACAATGGCTTCATTTATAAAATGGACATTTTAGTCTCATTATTTGTAAATTTACTTATTGTTGTACTCATACTTTTTGCCTTGTTTCTGTTGTTTGGATGAGAAATGTCCTTCCTGTTGTCTTTAGGCTAATCCTGCTTGTGCCCAGGATGTCTTCCGTCCTAAGAAATTCTCCTCTAATTTTCCTCTTTTGCTTTTCTTTCTTACATCTTCAACCTTTCCTTCCTCACTGGGACCTTCCTATTAGCATTTAAATATGTTGCATATCTAGCCTTGAGAACAGTGCCTGGCACTAGGTGGACCATCAGTAAACCTCTGTTGAATGAAGGAATGAATGAATGCTCAACCTTATTTTATCCTCATAGATCTTTCCCTCAACTTTATATTCCTCTTTAGCTCTACCTTGCTTTCAAACAGCCACTCTTTACCATTTCTCATCTATTCTTTCTCGGCCTATAGAATCTGGCTTCCATCTCTACCATTTCACTAAAACTGCTCTTACAAAGGCCACCCAGGATATCCTTAGTTCTGTGTAAAAGGAATATTCTGAGTCTTTTATCTTACTTGGCATTTCAGCAGCATCTGGCACTGTGATCTCTTCCTCCTCTTTGAACACCTCCTTTGACATGGCATTATGCTGTTTTCAGTAGACTTCTTTTCAGTAGACTTTTTATTCTTCTTCATAAACTCCTTCTTCCTCCTCTAGCTACCAATCAGATGTTGTTCCTTGGTGTTCAACCCTGCGGCCTTTTCCACGTAACTCAACACGTTTTTCTTAGGGAAGTAATTCCCTTCTGTGGTGCTAACAAATTTCTGTATGCTCATAATCCTCAAATATGTACTTAAATTCCGAAATGGTGTCTTGAAAAGTTGACCCACATACTCAACTCTCAACTGCACATTGTCTCCCAAGTACTTAAAAGTTCAACACGTCCTAAGCAGAAGTTACCATCTTCCCCAAATCTGCTTCTGTTCTTGTGTTTTCTATCTTCATCCCTCTGTTTACCCGCCTGGCCTGAGCAGGGAACCTGGGTGTCATACTTCTCTTTCTCTCAATCTCTCTACTGTCTGTTCCCTGCCCCTACACATTTCCTAGCAAACTCTGTCTTATTATTTCTATACATCTTGAATATGTTTATATTCTTGAATATATCTTGAATTTGTTTATAGTTTTAAATATATATTGAATAGGTTTCCTTTTCTTTTTCCCCACTGTAACTGCCCTAGTTCAAGTACTCATCAGCTGTGCCTGAACTTACCACACATCGTCTCAACTCTTCTCTGGCTACTCCACAATGTAACCAAAAGAATCTTTCTTAAAATACAAATACAGTGAAATCGCTCCCTTGTTTAAAATACTTTAATGATCTTCCAGTACTCTTAGGATAATGCCTTTAATTGGTTTAGTAGGATGATCTGACTTGTTTGCCCTGTTGGTCTCACTTGGAAGGTCTTTCTAATGATTAACATGGATATATGTCAATACATGGTATGTCACAGGCACTAAATAAATAAGACTCCTCCACCTTTTAATTAAAACTCATTTTTACACCTAAGGAAGATGAGACCTGTTGAGGTTAAGTGGTATGCCCTAATTCACATAACTAGTTAATGACAGAGCTAAAATATTTGAGCACATCTAGCTCAGATAAAAGTCCGTTAAAATTCAGGAAAACACTGGCTAAAATTTATCTGGTCTTTCTGTAGATTTCTCAGCCATGAGGGAAGGAGGGGCATACTTAGAAATATTTTGTTTTGTTTTGTTTTCCCTAGCTACATCCCAAAGCAGTAACTTGTTTACTTATTCTGACTGAATATTAAATATCTGTTTTATTGGTTTACTATGTGATAATTCTTTCCCTTCTTCAAAATGTCATCATGGCCAAACCACAGTGAACAAACAAGATCATTAGGAGCTTTTCGAGTCACTGAACTTTAAGCTTTTCCTGCTCCTCCCAGACAGAGCCTGAGGGAGACTACATGCTGAGAAGTTGCCAGAAGTTTCAGAACAGTGAAGCACAACTGGTTTCCTTAAATAAATGGCCTCTATTCCAATATCACTCCCCTAAAATCAAGCTTTATAAAAGGGCATTAAATATGTCTTGTCCCAGCTAAGTTTCCTGCCTTTTGATAATGGTGGAGTAGACGGAGTGGGGTGGCTGTACTTCAGTATATTTTGTCCTTTTTTAAAAATTTAAATTCAATTAGCCAACATATACTACATCATTAGTTTCAGATGTAGAGTTCAATGATCAGTTGCATATAATACCCAGTGTTCATCCCATCATGTGCCCTCCTTAATGCCCATCTCCCAGTTATCCCATTTCCCCACCTGCTGCCCCTCCAGCAAACTTCAGTTTGTTTCCTAGAATTAAGAGTCCCTCATGATGTGTCTCCCTCACTGATTTCTTCCCAGTTTCCCCTCCCTTCCCCTACGATCCTCTGTGCTATTTCTTATATTCTACATATGAGTGAAACCATGTGATAATTGCCTTTTTCTGATTGACTTATTTCACTCAGCATAATACCCTCCAGTTCTATTCATTCATGTCAAACAGATATTTGACATGATATATATATATATATCACAATATTCCAATGTATATATACATTTTCTATAATTGTATATATACTATATATGAATATTGTATAAGTATATGCAATATTCTTTACATATATCTTTATATATATGCCACATCTTTATCCATTCATCTTTTGATGGACATCTGGGCTCTTTCCATAATTTGACTATTGTGGATGTTTCTGCTATAAACACTGGGGTGCAGGTGCCCCTTCAGATCTCTGCATTTGTATCTTTTGGGTAAATACCTCTCATCGAGTAGCTCTATTTTTAACTTCTTGAGGAATCTCCATAGTGTTTTCCAGAGTGGCTGTATGAAAAGCCCACAGTGAATATCATTCTCAATGGGGGAAAAACTGAAAGCTTTTCCCCTGTCAGGAACATGACAGGGATGTTCATTCTCACCACTGCTGTTCAACATAGTACTAGAAGTCCTAGCCTCAATAATCAGACATCAGAAAGAAATAAAAGGCAATCAGATTGCCAAAGAATAAGTCAAACTTACTCTTCACAGATGACATGATACTTTATGTGGAAAACCCAAAAGACTCCACCCAGAAATTGCTAGATCTCAAACTTTGTCCTTTTTAACATGGGAATTAGAAAAGATAGTTTTAGCCATTTTTAGGAATATATTTGAGTTTATAGAATAGATGTTAGGAAGAAAAGTGGTTATTATTTATGCAGGTCTGGGCCTCAGTAGCTCATTAATTTCCTATCAGTACTAAGAGGGTACACGTATGTCATAGCCAGCCTCCAAGAGCTCCTCCCACATTACAGCAGGGTTGTCTGGCCAACAGAATGTGGCAGAAATGATGTATGTCACTTCTGCGATCAGGTTATAAAATACATTTAGCTTCAGTCTTGGATTCTCTTGCTTCCTCTTAATTTTCTCTCTGATCGCTCCCTCTGGAGGAAACCAGATGCCATGCTGTGAACAATCCCATGGAGAGGACCACATAGTGCGGAAATGAAACCTCTCAACAGTAGCCATGTGAGCAACCTTAGAGCAGACCCCAAGCCAGAACCATCCAAGTAAACTACTCCTAGATTCCTGATTCTCGGAAACTGTGAGATTTTAAGCTTCTAAGCTTTAGAGTAATGGGTTATGCAGCAATAGGTAACCAATGTAAAGCACTCAATGCTTGCAAAAATACACATTCTTTGTTCATTACAATTGTGGTTATTTCACAAAATGATATTGCAGAGGAAAAGAACTAACCTTTTCTGCTTAACTATCAATAAGTAAGTAATCCTCCTACTCTTAGCTCTTTCTCTTTAATTTCAAGGCATTCTACATACCATAAAGAATAATTTAAAAGTGAAGTCACACAGGTTGCTTCTTTCTGGGAAACTCTGATCTTTGATGAAATTATTTTTCTTTATTGATTGGCTGTACATTCATCCTACTTGTATATTGTGAACATAAATATGAAACCTCTGCTTTTGATGTCTACTGTTGATTTACATTGCGCAAGCAGTTCTGATTGCTCATTTTTGAACATCTTTCAAAAAACATGCTTATTAAAAACATGCCTGCTCATAAAAATCAACTTTAACTTAGGAAAATAAAAGGAAATATATTAATACATAACCTAGCAAAACAAATGTCTAAATTTTAGTTCTTGTACTGCAGGAGTAAATAAAGAACCCTCTGATGATGATGATGATGAGAATGATGATGATGATTTTTGTCACTGAAGGTGCGGTGTGGATTAAAGGCATAATACCTGGGTACAACTTGTGATAAGAGGCTCAATCTTTAATGAGTTAGTAATGAATTCTAAGATTTTTCTGATATCTTCCACTGGCAGAATCAGACTTGCTGTTTTACTCTTTATATATGATTTTTTAAAGTGTGGACTAATACTGAGGTTAAGAAAGTATATAAAATCCCTCATTCGTCATAAGGGTAGCCTTCTGACATCTGGCACAGCTCTCTGGATTGACATTTTCTTAGGCTTAGCCAACTGCTAAGACCTCAATGTAGTATCCTCTAAATATTCCCACCTGTTACCCTTTGAAAACAGAATATCATAAGGGAAAAATGAAATAACCTTGCAATGACAGCATGTGCACTGAAGGAGTCCTACCTGGGATGCTGCCCCCTTGCTGTCTTGAGGTTTCAATCTGAACACACAGCAGGACCTCCCTAGGAGGGCTGCAGAGCTTAGGGATCTCTGGGAGAAAAGGACACCCCTCTTCTTGGGCTGATGATGAATTTACCTTCTTTAATTCCAAAGCAGTGGCCCCACTCCTCCAGGGTGATGTGCTTATCCTTGTTGGGGTCACACTCCTCAAAGAAGCGAGTTATGCAGTGTTCCATGGGCACCAGAGAAGCTCGTAAAGGAGCAAGCTCAGAATGAGTCAAGACTCTGCAATAAAGTGAATGGCAGTATGTTAATGAGTAGCTTGCATATCAAAGTTAACTTTTAGGATAACCAAGGCATTTCTCTTCCACAAGATTATTGCTAAGTATGCCAAATAAATAGTACACTCATGAAAACTTGCAAATGAAATAAACTATTTATGGGTAAGGTAGATAGCACTTAGGATGTCACAAAGTTTTCTTCCTCACTGGGAAGTATCCTCCCACCATCTTAAATTTATAGGGATGCTCCCACCAGCAATTATGTTTGTACAACCTGGCTCTTATCCACTGACCAAACCCAGTTGTTCCTGATGTAGGCACTTGACCCAAGTTGGGCCAATCAGATTGTCTTAGGAATTTAGCATCAAGGATGAGAAAAAATTGAAGGAGTCTCTGAGTCTTAACATCTAAACTTGGGAATGATGATGTGGCCATATTCTGTTATTTTCAAAGCAGTTTTGTGTTTAGACACCTACCCACATTTGTTTGGGATCTCAGTGTTCTAAATCAGAACTGGAAAACTTCCTAAATTTGTTTAGAATTATCTTTCTATAGATAACTAAGACATTATATGAGGGAGATGATCTAGTAATGGGAAGGCAAAGAGTTTTTACCTGTCCATAGGATGTTGGTCAAGTTCACCAAACTGCCAGTGCACAGGATATACATACATGTGGTAGTTTTTCTTAAAGTCCCTTAAGAGAAGGTCAATGGAATGGTCCCCAGCCAAGAGCCTCTTTTCATCCAGGTAAATTTTCTTGACCTGGGATTAGGAAGGGAGAATATCATCAGGGAATCAGGGTAATGAAATTATCACTTGCTAAACTTTACTTGAGTAATAGCGACATGTCAGAGTAAAATAAGCCCAGGCCATCATATAAGGCCAAATGAAATACTTTCTTTTTTTTATGTTTTTATTTTTATTTTTTTTTTATGAAATACTTTCTAATCAACACATAGACTTTCTTCTTTCTACCTAGAATAACAGCTAACATTTAAAAAAAAGTGTGGTTTTCAGAAGAAGTTTAAGTCTTTTTTGATTTTTCTTTTAACCAGGTACTATTCATCATAGTATGAGAATGTTTTAATGAAAGGAGCTAAACTGACCTAAGCAAAATTATTAGTTAAAAAAAAAAAAGTCTTGCTTTTCCCCCATTGGCATACTCTATTCTTAATTCTCTGTGTATTTCTGTCCAGGATCTGCTCAGGATCAGTTTAGTCATGGTGTAACACCACTTGGCCACCCCCATTAGAATTTCCCTGTTTTGTATCGAATGCTCTCAAGGCCTTCATGATGATGTATTAAAGAGAGAGGACAGAAATTATTTCTGGGCAATGAATATAAAACTCTTGGCTTCTGATGTCACTCATGAACTAATTGGAAGCAATTAGAACGAACTTCTACCCATTCTCATGGCCGTATCCACCAACTACTCTCCTTGTTATCATGGATGAACTTCCTGTGCTCTGAATATAAGCCTTTCACTGGTGCTCAGGAGCCTAACCCTTCCTATCTCCTCAAGAGCACCCAATGGCAGTTGGGCACCTTTTCTACTCCTCATCAGTTTTTCCTTCTTTACTTGGTTACTACCAGAAGCATACAAACATCCTCTACCATCTCCCATTGGTAGATGGGACTCTTGAGCTCACATTCCCCTCCAGCTGCTACCCATCTCACTTTTCAAGATGTCATGAAAATACTGTCTATACTTGCTGCTTCCACATCCTTCCTCCTAATTCTCTTTTGAACCCTATCCATTCAGGCTTTTCTCCTTTCCATTCTGCAGAAACAGCTTCTGTCAAGATCAACTCTGTGGTCACCACAGACCATGACCACAGGGCAAATCAGTGGCCAACTCAGTCCTCATCCTACATCTGTAAACAGCATCTGACACAGTTAATGCACAGCTTCCTTCTTGTTAATTTTTTCTTCATAGCATGTTTCATCCCATCTTGTACATATATTTACATATTTATTTACATGTTTATATATTTACATGTATCTCATATATTTATTTACATGTTTATATATTTACATGTATCTCATATTTATTTACATGTTTATATATTTACATGTATCTCATATTTGCATATGTAGATATATACATGAATTGGTTCTAGCGCAGTTTTTTTTCTTGTCTATAAAGCATTTAACCTCCCTGTACACAACTCACTCCTTTTAAAGAAAAAAATTGAGGGATCCCTGGGTGGCGCAGCGGTTTGGCGCCTGCCTTTGGCCCGGGGCACGATCCTGGAGACCCGGGATCGAATCCCACGTCAGGCTCCCGGTGCATGGAGCCTGCTTCTCCCTCTGCCTGTGTCTCTGCCTCTCTCTCTCTCTGTATGACTATCGTAAATAAATTAAAAAATAAATAAATAAAAAAAAGAAAAAAATTGAAAATGTGAGCTTCTAAAGGCAGAGATTTTTGTTTGGTTCATTGCTTTATCTCCAGCATGTAAATCAATTCTAGATACCTAAGGTGCACTTAATAGCTATTTGATGAATGAATTTTCCCTGAGAACTTCTGGAATAAATATTCTGCACTTTTGAATCTTAATATATTACTGACTTTGCAAGTAGGGGACTTCTCTTATATCATAAATCTGCCTGGCCAATGGGGGAAAAAGAGATGTTCCAATTTAAATAATATATCTGTACCTGAATATATAAATGCTGAATTGAGGTTCACTTTGCTCAACTAGGGCTTGCTCTAGGGTATGAGTTAAAGAGTCCTTGCTCAGGCTGCTGCCCTTCGAGTAGGAGTTGGGTGGTTTGGCCATGTCTCAAATCTTGTGGCATGAATGGTGACCACTACTAATCTGTTAGTACATATGAACTTAGCAGGTGTGGAGCGGCAAAGTGGGCTCTTGCTAATATGCAGTGGGAGGTAGGCCTCCTCTTCCCCACAACACACACATCCTTTTTCCTCAGGACCTGTAGATAGACACTTAGCTGACCTGTGGATAACTTACTTTATTTCTTTGCTTTTCATTTAGATATCCAGCATGTTCAGAGTTTTGCTCATAAAGTTGCATGAGAATATTCTTGAGCCAGTCTCTCATCCTTAGGGGAAACTGAGTCACTTCAAAGTCTGTACAAATAGGAATAGCTGTTCCAAGAGGAAAGAAAACAGATTTTAATCTTTGGGTCTTACTCCTATCTTATGTGGCAAGTCTTCATAACAGTAAACTTAACAACATCTCGTGATTGGTGGACGCTGATTGTCCTACCATCACAACAGTGGTCCTTAACCCTGGTGGTACAACAGAACTGCCTAGGGAGTTCTAAAAACATACCAGATATCAGGTTCCATTCAAATAAATTCTAATTTGATTAGTTTGGGGTGGAGCTTTGGCATCAGGATGTTTTAAAAGTTACAAAGATAACTTGATAATGCAAACAAGACTGAGAACCACCATTCTAGACTCAGAAAGTTGGAATTTAGAGGTGGAGGACAGAAGAACTATTTATTAGGAGAATAGAGACAAAAGTGGAAGTTAGGTTATGCTGCAGTAACAAATAATGTTAAATCTCAGTGGCTTAAAAGAACAAAAGGGTTTTTTTTTAAGTTTTATTGAGATATAATTGACATACAGCACTGTGTCTAAGTCTAAGGTGCACAGCAAAATGACCTGACATCCATATATTGTGCTATGACTACCACAATAAGTTTAGTTAATGCTATCACCTCATCAAGTCACAAAAATTTTTATTTTGCCTCAGGATGAGAACTTTTAGGATCTAGTCTTTTAGCAACTTTCAGATATACTATTCAGCAGTGTTAACTACAGTCATTGTGTTGTACATTCAAGTCCAATACAAGCTGGCAGGAAGGTCCTGCTCACGGCAGTTTCTCCTGGGCTCAGGATGTTGAAGACACCACCATCTCAACATAAAGTGGAGGGAGCAGAGAGGACCATATACTAGTTCTCAAATACATCTAACCAGAACTCAAATGGATGTTTTTTGCTGAAATTTCATCGGACGAAGCAACTCATATGGCCACATTTAATGTCCAGAGGGCTGAGAAGTTTAATACTCTGTGTGTCAGGAAGGAGAGGAGAACTGGAAATATCAGTAAGCACTGCTAATATGGAGAATTATTTAGTGATAAGGAGATTCAAACACCATGGAGAGTATCTTGGGGAAGGAAAACAATTCAAAAAACTTCTGGAAGAATATATTGTCATAAAGCCTCTTGGCAAGGACAATGTACATTGGAAGAGGATAAGTAATTTAGCAAAATTCCAATGATTCGTCTCAATTATTAAGTGGTAACATTATCATAGTGGTTCTGAACCCTGGCTTCACATTAGAATTGTCTAGGTTACTTTAAAAACAAATGAAAAAACATCATCAAAGCCCTAACCCAGTCCAATGAAATCCATCTCTTAAAGTTAAAGCCTGGGCGTTCTTTTTTTTTTTTTTTTTTTTTTAAGTCTCTCAAATAGATTTTAATGAGCATCCTAGGTTCAGAACTACATTAGCCTTCTTCTGTTTGCATGTATGAGTATGTATATATATTATTCAGATACGCAGAGATTCACCCCAAATCCTCTCAGCAATGATGGTTGGCAAAAGAGGCAGACTCTTACATTTGCAGGCTCCAAAATAATCCAGCTGTAGTTGGTGCCCTTTTTTGGTCCCTTCCAGTTTACATTTAGTAGCAAACAGATGACAGGAGCTAGCATAGGTCTGATTGTCAGTGCCACAAACCTAGGACAGACAAGCAGGACAAAAAGCTCATGTTTCTGAATGTACATTGGGGAAACACCCTGCTCCTTAAAGCTCATAGTTGACTGATCAACCGTGTCGTGCCAAAGATGTGGTCAGGTAAGTGAAGGTATTAAAATCATAACTGTCTTAATGGGTAAAAAAAAAAAAATCAACTAAATTATACCACGGGTGTTGACAATCTAGCTCTAGATAAGCTCAGTAGAATGCAAACTGCAGATGTTCCAAGTATACAGTGAGTTTTAAAATGAATTCTGGAGATCAATGCCATTATTACCTTTTCAGGGCACAGTTGAAATTCCTTGTTTCTGCTGGCATTTTTTCCTATTCAATATTATTTTAAGTTTTAGGTGATAACCTGGGTATCTGTCTCCCCCCCCCCCACACACACACATATTTCAATTGCAAACCACTTTCATTCAAATCACTATTTGGGGCCCCTTCAAGACTATTTTGTAGAATACTTACTTGGTCAAGGAGTTTTGTAGGAGGACAAGTCACCAAATCTTGGCAAACACAGTGGGGTTTTCCCTCTTGGTCAGCCTTACAGATGTGTCCCCTTTTACACTGGAAGTTCATGCAAGAATCTAACAGAAAAATTTGGTCAGGAAGCATGAGCAAAGCTAAACTGAGTATGGAATCTCAAATTCATCCAGATAATTATGTTCATTTTCATCAAGGAGAGAAAATTTGGGAAAATATTAAAAACTGTTTTAATGGATATGTTAATGTTCAAATGGGATCCTCGGGCGTCAGACTGTTTTACGCAACAGTTTAGATTTTCTCTGCCGTTTGAATTGGGGATTTAAAAAGAACAAACAAACAAACAAAACATAAAAAGAACAAATAGCTCTTCGTGGCCTGCTTACAATGGCCATAGTCTGGAGTCCACACTTCAAGGTTGTCCAAACTGATCATAAGCTAAATAAGCCACGAAAATTTTATGGTGGTGAAATTAAAAATGTTTGTGATTGGGGTATGCGATTCAGAATTAGGTCTGAATTAAATATGGGGTCTAAATTCATTAGTAAGTTATGGACTTGAAATCGAATAAGGTAGAATTATTCTTCTTGGAAGCAAAAGGATTTAGGAAGAAAAGAATCTAGCTTTCATACTAATATTACAAGATTTCCAGTTTGTAAACACGTTTTCCCATAGTTGTATATCAAATGTGTCCAAGAGAATGTCAACAATTTACAAGAGCATTTCCTTAGGGAGGATTTGGGAAAAGATTTCTGTGAAGCAACGACAAATGATGGACTGAGGAGAGCCTAATGTGGCCATTCCATTTCCTCCTTGATAAATCACAAGTCGCTTGCTCTACTCACCAATATCGTGCACCATTCTGTTGTTTTCATATGAACTTTCATCTTCATTCAGTGAGCTTTCTGCTTTCTTGGCCTTTGAATAACAAGAGCAGAAGCTAAAGTCTAGTTAGGGGAAAAGCTCCTACATAACTTGTATTACGTATTTGTATTATACCTTCACAAAGCGTTTCATACCCAGATCATTTCAGATCTCAAAAAGACAAATATAACTTGTGAAGATAGTAACTCTTTGAGAACAGGAGCCATTTGTATCTTGAACTGGATTCAGCACTATATCTCTGGGGATTACTCAATAAAAGTTGGAACTAACATTGGGAACAAAGCTGGAACCTTCCCTTTGGATTTGGGAAAACATTAGAAATGTAGTATTATCATGTGATTCCATAGTTAAGACACAATTCCATCAGTAATCTCTATGAAGCTGTTGATAAAGGTTTCTTACCATTTCCCTTTTTAAAAAAGATTTATTTATTTATTTATTTATTTATTTATTTATTTATTTATTTTAGAGAGAGAGGGAGAGAGAGAGAGAACAAGCATGGGGGAGAGGGGCAGAAGGAGAGGGAGAAAGAAACTCAAGCGCAATCCACATTGAGCACAGATTCCTACATGGGGCTTGATCTCATGATCTGGAGATCAGGACCTGAACTGAAACCACGAGTTGGGTGCTTAACCAACTGAGCCACCCTGGTGCCCCAGGTTTCTTACCAGGTTTCTAAAGTGTAATAAAACTCTACCTTAAAGTGGCAGCAGAGTTCTCGGTAATCAAAGTTACTATTGACCTTGGCCACCAAAAGCTATGTCAAGTCCTCCTGGTGGGTGGCTGCTGGGGTTTTGCATGAAAGCTCCAAATGATTAGACAATAACAGTATGCTTTTCCCCTACTCCCACTCTGCTGCAGTTTCCTGATTATCATTTTGGTGTGTGTTTGCTTAATCAAGTTGTAGCTGAAGTCTTTATTCTTAATCTTTATAGCTAAATCAACAAATATTCCTCGATCTCTTATTATGTTAGAGGTATTTTCCTAGACATTGATGATTCAACTTAAATATTACATAGCATCTACTCTCAAGACATTACAGCAGTAGTCATCAGTGTCTCCCATCCCTCATATCTGTCAGAGTTTATCATTCTAGTGAGCTCCAGGCACTTTCAACTGCCTGTATCTGCATCTATGTGCCTGAAAAACCATGGCAGTATATTTGGCCTGCTCAAAGGACAGACCGAAAGTGCTGGGGTATTAACACCTCTCCTAGCAATTCTCAGTCTGTATAAATATCCCAGCTCTCTCACTCTCCAAATGGGGTAATCCAAAGCAATGTGTTTTATGTCAGTTTAATGATGTACACTTGATTAGCTTCCTTTCCTTGTTTATCATATTCCTCTCCTCTTTGTTTCCTGAACTTCTCAAATAAACTGTACTAAAATCCAGGATCTGCTTCTAGGGGAACCCAAATAAAACAGGTATTTTCAGCCTAGTGATGAAGATGCAGAGGAAAATAAATAATTTTAATATATTTTAGTAATGTACTGATAGAAAGGCATAGGAGACTGTGAGAGCACAGAGAAAGGTCATGGATAGTTCTTGATAAAGCTGACTACTCTATTGGAAAAGCATCATTGTAAAGAATCTCACCCCTTGGTATTCTCCAGGTTCACTGGCATCCACATTTCCATTCTCACGTTCTCTTTCTCTTTCTCTTTCTTCTTCATATTTGAGGTGATAGGAAATGGACTGAGATCTTTCGGCCTCTATGAAGGCCTCACTTGGGATGAATTCATAGTCATCACTTGCATCGTGTCTGGGCTCATCATCACCATCATCATTAGCTCCAAGATTTCTAGGCATGATGTTACCATCTTCAGTAGGCTTCACAAGCAGAGCCTCAGAAACAGTCTTTTTATCTATCTCCTCATGGTCGCTGATAACTTCAGGTTTTTCTTCTTGGCTCTGCCATTCAGCATCTTGATTGTGTTTATTAATTTTTGATGCAGTTTCATCTTCCATTTCTGCATTGGAACTATCCTCTTCTTGTTCTTGGTTACCCTGCTCAGATTCATCTTTCTGCATCTTGCTTACTTGAGTTGGTTGACTGGACTCTTCCAAAACATCATCAGATTGGGTACGGTCTTCCTCCTCGATGTTAGAATGTTCCTTGGGAAACATTCTCTCCCTTTCTTGGTTATTGCTGTGGGTACCAACTTCACCTGGGTCTTCTTCCCCTTCCCCTTCTCCATTGGGAATATTTGAGTCCTGCTCTTGGTTTCCTTGATCACTTACATCTTGGCTATGCTTGTTGCTCTTGTTCAGCTGAGGATGTAAATCATTTATTGGTTGTTCTTGTTCTTTTTCTGTTTTTGTGATGCTTTCTTGATGGTTAGGATCTACAATGGAACTAATATTAGGAGCAAGGAGATCAATGTTCTCTGAGAGTTTTTTCTTTTGAGGCTCACCCATATCTTCTTTTAGGTCCAATGTACGTTCAGATGGCATATACTCCAAATTCTCACTTAAGTCACTTTCACTTTCTTCTTCATCCTGTAATCCAAGCTCTTGGCTGTAACTCTGCCCCTGATCTGCTGACTGGTCATGATTTTCCTCCTTTGACTTTAGTACTGAAGATTTTTCAGCCTTAAAAGAAAAGAAGTTTGCTTTTGAAACAAATTATAATGGAATATTTGCATCATATTTATAATTCACAAGCCAATACCTATTATTTATTATTCTTTTTCTTCACATAATATCAGGCAAACCCATATAGGACATTCTTTATATTCTGTAACTACAAGTTTAACCTGAATTTGAATTTTGTGAACTGACAGGATTATATAGCACCTTGGCCGAAGGTGTAAAACTCGCTAATTCTCACAGTTTTTCTGGTGATTGGAGACAGTTGATGTGATCATCATCTTTTAAAAATTAAGCTGAGATGAGTGAGAATGAGGTAAATTGGAAACTTTTAAAATTATAATGGTGTTACCATGTTACTTTTACCTCATGGTTGGGATGGTCTATAGATACTGCAATTTCCTTTTCATTTTCTGCATCTTCAACCCCTAACACGGGGATTGCAGTGTTGTTAGGTGTTACTAATATTTCAGCTTGTTGGATGGAACTCAGAGAATCAGCAGTTGGTTTGGAATGATCAGACAGGAACCTTGCATTTGTCTGAAAAAATTAGAAATTGGCTCATGTTATTCATGTCTAGATGTTAATGTTTAAAATTTCTAGTTACTCTTTTATTGTCATTATTAGTAGCAATATGCCTCATACATAATATCACTTAAAAGATATTCTCAAGAATTTTTAAGAATACAAATGTCCAGATTATAATGTTAAATTAAAACAGAATCCCAAACATATTTAAGAAAAAGTTATATATGCAGAGACAGGAAACAGAGCAATAATAAAGTCTTCTTTGAGAGTTTTAGAATTATTTTCTGTGCTTTTCAAACTTTTAAAAGACATCCATACTTTATAATTTTGAGAACTGTTGCTTGGCAGAAAGTCAAATTAGCCAAAGGATATAATACTATACATTTTCTTAGGTTAACTTTTAAGTACTCACTGATGGTTACAGAAAAGGTATAAATCTTTATTTAATATTTGTTTATTTTCTTGGCAGTAGCAGCCTTATATCCATCAAAAAAATCTCATAATATCTTATACAAAGATAATTAAATGTAGAACTAATTCAAAAATTATGTGAAACAGTACACTAATTCTGATAGAGAAGAACAACTATGGAGTATTATTTCAACTAGAGGGATGGCTCTATTTCTAGCAAGACTGAAGGCATAGATGAAGAGCTGGCAGTGATAAATGACTGAGAAGTTTAACAACTGGATTTAGAGATAAGAGATCTCTCTTTAAGCCTTGACTCTGCTATTAACTATCTACCTGTCATTTGACAAATTGTGAATCTATCAAGGTGAAGTTGAGTAGAAATATCAAGACAAGTCTATGCATATATAATATATGATAGTTTGTAAATTGTCAAGTTACCCCAATGAAAAATGACTATTGCTAGCAGTAATATGATACAGTGGTAACACTATGAACTGTCCGATACCATAAGCAGGTATTTACCCCAAATCTTTATTAGACAGATGCTATGGATGCTCAGATGTCAGGCAAATCTAGGCGTAAGTACAAAATTCAGATTCTATTTGCACTGATTTGTCTTTATTAGCACATTCTGTTGTATCAATTACTTAATATAAGGAAAGACATGGAGTACAGGACTCATTTTAGATACTGTTTGTTCTCTTGCTTCTGATCACCTTCTCAATTAAAAGGAGTAATGGCATTTGAAAAAATTTCCAAAGAAGCGATTTATAAGAGGGAAAGAAAAAAGGAACGGTGGCCAGTCTGGCAGGTTGCCGGCAGGGGCATCATGGGAAGCAATGAATGGAGGAGATTATAGGCTTATTAGTAGAGAACTGCTCCCTCTCTCTGCACCCTTCTTCCTCTGCTTTGACTCCTCAAGCTGGAAGAAATCACCAAAAGCATGGCAGCTTTTCTTCTTTCAGAAATTTTCTGAGATCAAATTCTGGTTTATTATTATTCCCACAGCTATAGCCTCTGGAAATTTGTGTGGAATCTCCTACCCACACGAAACCACTTACTTCTGTAGAATTTAGGCAAGTGAGGAAAATGATACAAGATTTTTAATAGGTAAACCCAGTGAGAAGATATTTAGCTTTTTAGCTTTTGATTGGATCCACGTAACAAATTGTCCTAAAGAGAAAACGTCTAAAATGTGTCTCTATGTAGATGTGTTATTCTAACATTTGGTTGAAAGACAGTTTTGATGCCTGTTTACATAGTGGCAACAGCCGCAAGGGCAAAATACACTTTAAGGAGAAAACAATGGGTTTGTGGAAGCTTCTTTCTGTGCTGAACGTAATTTATCCCACTTTTGTAATTTCAGAGGACAATGTATAATTTCAGCTGGAGTAACTCCAGCTAGTTAAGCATAATTCCTAGCAGTGTTGTCATAAATTCTGTTTTCTAAGAACTGCTTGGTCTGGGTGGCATGATGTTTATCTTTGCTGACACATCTGTCAACCAAATGTTCGCCACCAGCTATCCAAAAAGCAAGGACAGAATCCTGGACATAGTAGAGAATGAGAAAGAAAAGGGATGAGAGAAATTACTTTGTCTAGTTAAAGGAGATTGATTCCTCCATTTGGCAAAAAAAGAAAAAAATGGCACAAATCCTTTGGTTTGATTATAGATGTTATGGATCATTTGGGAGACATCTGAACGATCATCCAAGCCATGGTTCCATTAACAACAACAAAAACTTTCAGGTTATTTTAAGGCTGCTGACATAGCCTCAAATGACTCTGATTTGTGTGCGGATGATTTATTGCTGGGTGAATGGTGGGGCCAGTATATCTGACTGTGAAAAAAGAAAGTTCTAGTTCTGTCTGTTTTCAGACACCCCCTCACCCTATCACCCCCAAAGATGAGTTAGGAGCTGATTTAGGATTACCATACCATTTCCTGCCCCTAACCGGTTCTTGTTTTATGACAGACTCAGAACTGATCAGCTGGTTTATATTTGAACTTGAAGAAAATGCTGCTGAAGAGTATGGGTATTCACTCTCAAGACTTCTTATACTAATTTCTTAGGTTTCTCATACTAAGTGATGAACTTCCACAGGAAAATTTATTTCTTCTCATTCTCTTGACATTTAGACCCTGGCATAGACCCTTCCTAGTAACTGATAACATTTTCAGCTTTCGATTTATTGTATCTTGGAGAACCTGGTAGTTCTAAAAGAATTCTTTTCAAATGTATTTTATTTCAATTTTTCTAGTCATTCATTCCCTAGTTGGGAAAGAAAAATATTAAAAAAAGAGAATTTCAAACCACTATATATGCACTACGTGCACACATTCTCTTTTTAAATAGAAGATGTCTAAATTAAATGTCAAGAAGGAGAGATATAACAACAGGAAAAAAAAGGATATTTACCGGGATTGCAGCCGCAGTTCCCAAAATGTATAGGAAAAAAAGCACAGTCTTCATGTTTTCTAGGCCTGTAAACCAAGAAGATAATTAGCAGTGGTGGGTAAAGGTTTCCTTTTGAAAGAGTAAAAAAGATAATCTTCCTAGCAAATATTCAGCTTGATATTGCCTTTGTACTTAAAGGAGATTATTGTCTTTGTGCACTAACATGTCTGGAAAGATGGATTAATGACAGTTTTTACCCAATTGTGTCTCTGTGAGAATGACTCCTTGATTTTCTGGCCCAGCTGTGTTTGGTTGAACCTACCTCTGTTTATGCCTGTGTTTCCTTAAATAAAGGCGCTATGCAGATTTGTGTGTTCAGATTTGTCAGTGTTCACAGTGAAGATAAAAGTGACAAAGTGAAGTAATATAGTGTGTCAGAAAGGGATAAAACAACCCACTTCTTTGGTGGTGGAGAAACCCATACATTCAATGCAGAGTTTTAGGAATAAGACCTAGTCTTGCCTAGAGCAGTCATCAGTGTTCATCTTATTTAGAGGTATCACACTGGCAATTTGGGGGTGGGTGGTGGCCGCAGATAGGTTTGGTTTGGTAGGCAACTGTGTATTTCAAGCTAGCATTTTAAAGTCCAAAGTGTTCATGTAAAAACCCAGATTTTCAATTTTTCTTGAACCACTGGGCCTCTTAGCAACAAATGGTCTTCCTGACTGGATCTTAGTAGAGACTATCCTCTATGAGAAATGCTGGCACTTGCCACTGGTCTGTTTCACTTATTCGCTTTGAATATGAGTTTAGTTTGTTCCAAATGAACTTTTTCAGTTGAGATATGAGGCAAGCGAGGCTCAAAGAGGTGGAGTAAATTAGCCTCCTGGGAATTCTCTTAAAAGGAGTGGGCAGTGTGCATTGCCCTGAGGAGTATCTCTAAGGCTGGCAATCTACCTTCAACTGGGATTAGGAACAGAGTTTTCAGTCATTAAAAGAAATTCTCTGGATCTCCTAGGAATAGTTAGGTGACTCTTTTAAATTATGTTTGTCATCTTTTATTCATAAGTGTATCCATAGAGCTTTAAATAATATTTTGAGGTTTATAATGTAAGCAATTTCTTCTGCTGGTTACCTCAATATTTCTAAACAAATGCTTGAATGAATATTTAAAATAAATATGTATCAATAAAATTATTCTATTGATTTAATACTGTAACAGCTATTGCTTCACACACACCACATGCAAGCACACACATGCACAAACATACTCTTCTCCTTCCCCTCCTTTCTTTTCCTAAAATAATTACATCACAATTGTTATTTCAATCACTATTTAACATTTATGACAATGTGTATATATTCTTCACAGCTGAGCCAAGTAGTAATTTCCTGTGTTGAATCAAACTTAGATTTATTTCTTGAACAATATTTTGCTTTGTCTGGATCTAGAAATTGCCTCCTTTTTTGATGTACTTTTCCAAGTATGCTTATTCTTCCCAAATTTTCCAACAAAATTTAAAAATTCCTTTTAGTATGGTAACAATGACAAAGACAGAACAACAACAACAAACCCATAAAAGAATCCTTAAGTCCCATTTTCCCCTTGGAGATGTCCCTTCCAGGTGTTGGCTGTCTTGTTCCACATGACTGAAGTACCCCAGGGAGCTAGCTGCCCTGCTTTCCTCCCCGGATTGCTAGTCACCACCACCCTGGGAATTCCCTTTGCTCTTTTCCTGTGTTTGAGTTCTTGCTTCTTGTTCCTATGTTTTTCTTTTTTGATATTCTCCCTCATTTTCATGGAGCACATCCTCCAGAAGCTTCCTGAGAAATAATACATAGGGGACAGAAGTTTTGAGACTTTGCATTTCAAGAAAACACGAGTTTTTTATCCTTCACTTGATAGATGGTTTGGATGGACATAGAATTTTAGATCAAAAAATTTTTTTCTCAGAATTTTAAACCATGTTCCATTTTCTTTTAATTTCCAGTGTTGCTAGTAGGAATTGGTTTTTCCCAGAATTTATTTATTTATTTATTTATTTATTATTTATTTATTTAAAGATTTTGTTTATTTATTCATGAGGGGCACAGAGAGAGAGAGAGGCAGAGACACAGGCAGAGGGAGAGGGAGAAGCAGGCCCCATGCAGGGAGCCCGACGTGGGACCCGATCCCGGGTCTCCAGGATCAGGCCCTGGGTGAAGGCGGCGCTAAACCACTGAGCCACCCGGGCTGCCCTCCCAGAATTTTTTAAATGAGAATTTTTTTTATTCTTTATGTAAGCTTCTAAGTTTTTTTTTTCAAGTTTTAATATTTGTTCCTAGCATTCTAAAATATTACAATCTCTGTCTTAGTTTGGATCCTTTCTTTTTTTGGAAATAAGGGCACCTGCGTGGCTCAGTTGGTTAAGTCAGCCTTTGGCTCAGGTTGATCCACCGAACAAGCCCTGGATCAGCCCCACATTAGGCTCCCTGCTAAATGGGGAGCCTGCTTCTCCAGTTCCCTCTGCCTGCCGCTCCCCTCACTTGTGCTTTGCTCTCTCACTCTCTCTGCCAAATAATAAAATATTTTTTAGTTTTAATAATTTCTACACCCAATGCAGGGCTTGAACTCATGAACAGAAGCCAAAAGTTGCATACTCTTCTAAGTCAGCCGAACACCCCAGTTTGGATACTTTTTAACTTGCTTTAGGCCCTCATTAGGCCCACTGAATTTAAAAACTCATATATTTCAGTTCTGAGAGATTTTTACATTCTAATTCTTTGATAATTTTTAAAAAAGATTTTATTTACTTATTTGACAGAGAGAGAACACAAGCAAGAGGAGCTGCAGAGAAAGAGAGGGAGAAGCAGATTCCCCTTCTTTGATAATTTTTCTTTTTAAAAAATTTTCTTTCTGGAATTTGTAATAGTTAAATGTCAGACTTTGGAGGTTGGTTGTCTAATTTACTTAGTTTTTGTTCCTTTTTTCCATCTTGTTTATTTTATTCTGGGAAACTTCCTCAATTTTATCTTTATTCTCTACTGTTGATTTTTAAAATATTTTTCTCATACACTTTTAGTTTCTTATTTCCTGATGTTCCCCTTTTAAATTTTATCTTCTTTTTTCATTAGTGTGATATATATACTCTTATGTTTTTGAGGATATTAAATATTTAAAAAATTTCCTTTGAACTCTATATTTTCTGTTTCCATATTATCCATTTTTCTGGTTTGTTTACTTTGGTCTTTGATTTTTTATGTTGAAAGCTTTTCTCGGATGGCCAATGTCTTTGGTTGTATGGTAATATTTAGTAGCAAGTCACTGAAAAGCCAGTTAGATATTTCACAGGCAGGGCTTGTCACCTTGGAGACACTTTTGATGTGATGCCCTAAATGTCATTGTCAGATTTTTATCCTTGAAGATAATTTTTTTCTAGGGAAGATCATACTTCCTACTCCAGGGGTTGGGATAAAAGCCCGGTTGCTACATTTTGTGAGATGGAATGAAGGGACTGGAAATCTCTCAGGGCATATATTGACTCTCATTTTGTCCCCAGATTTCTGTATGACATCACATCCCACCCTCCATGGTGTCTATCTAAAGCCCAGGACCAGAGAATTACCTCCCTTTCCTGTTTAGGGTGAAATGGGGGATCTGGCAATACCAGCATGAGGAAGAATCTGGCATCTCTGTTTATACAACAGGTTTCAACCAATCCTCCTGATTTCAGCCTCTACCCTTGCCTCAATTTCCAAATTACCTGGTATCTCCAATCTTGGAAACTTTTCTGGGTTCTGCTGTGTGAACTGACTTCTTTTTATGGCACCCTTCTCTGAAAATCCTTAGATTTAAGCTTTCCCTGTTCTTCTAGTTGCTTGCTACCTTCTAAAAATTTACCTATATCTTTTCTCTTGTCACCCTCTCTTTTTTCTTTGTCATTGTGAGTTTATATTATTATTTTTCCTTTCCTATCATTATACTGGAATTTTAGCAGGAAGTGGCAATATATGCATATGTTTCATCCACCCCATTTAATGAACAGTGTGTAATCCACCTCATTTCTTCATCTGCTTTATATCCCCATTGCTATTACTACTTCTAGGACAATAGGAATTATTATGGGTCGGTCTTTGGTTCTAATTTCATTAGCAAATAAAGTTTTTATTGAAGAAAAGGAGCCTATAGTTGCTAGAACAGACTTCCTTACCATATTAGAAAAAATAAGAACGCCCTTTCACCTATCCCAACATTCAAATCCCACAGGGTGGGCCACTTGGACTAGGGAATAGTATATTGGAAGAATGGAGATTAAAGATTCAATGTGAGGGAAAACTGAAATCACCTATGAACTTGTATCACCTTAAATAAACTAATCTATTCCATTTTTAATGAAAATAACATGTATTCATCTTGGAGACTTAAATTTAATTCCTCTAAGGAACTCCTCTGAAAATGACTATACATAATTTCAGAAATGCAGAGTACTAACAGTGGAATGTGTGTTCCATTTATATTTTTAAATTAACATTATTTAGAACTAGCAAGGGTGTATAACAAATACTGGAAATTTGTATTATCAAAGTGCTTTGGGTTTACCAAACAGATTTAAAAATGGAATATTATCTTATTTGACCTTTGCAATAACCCCATGATGTGGCAGATGAAGAACAGGGCTAGAAAGGCTATTGACAGGACATGCTGGAGGTCTGACAGCTGTTAGGAAAGGGAACTGGCCTGAACCCAGCTATCCTGGTTTCTGTTCTGGTGCTTTCCCAGCTCCTGTGCAAATAAAGATCTCCATTTACTTCATACACAAAGATGTAGGGAAGGAGGAAAAAACTCCTTATTGGGAAAAATTCAGAACTCACTTTGAATTTTTAAATAAAGAGTTCCAATATTTTAAGGTTTAAGATTTTGTATACATGGCAAACATTTTCCTTTTCTGTTGAGGAAAAATAAGTCTTATCATAGAATGTTAGCTGGGTTATTTGATATCAAAAGTCCCTTTCAATAATGTTTTTTATAGTCTAAAGAAGGCAAAAACATAGAAATTCAATTTCCTTTGAATGAAGAGCATGTTTAAATAAAAATATGTAGCAACAC